GTAGTGAGTTGCTGTGCGCCATGAGGTGACCCAACTGCAAGTTTACTTGGGCATCTAAGCGGAACCGCTCAGAGGTCGTAATTGCGCCTGTCAGTTTTTGCTGTCACTTTTATTGGGCGAGATTCGGGAAGAAGCGACGTCTGTGACGCTTTTGTCGCCACTTGCAGGTCAAAGATTCTCCACAGTGAACAGTGGGAAAAACACCGAGGCGAACCGTTTCAAAAGTTCTTCAGCGAGTTTATGGAGTTGACGCTATTCGTCCGTCCGTCGCTGCAGCGCACACCTTCTCCGGCAAAGCACAGCATCGGGGGACATCGCTGTTCGTTCGGCCGCTACCATCAACAGAAAAGATCCAGATCCGGCGGCACCGATCGACGTTCGAATGACTGGCGGTCTCTGTAATTCGTTCTGTGGGTCAGGTCAAGTCGAATGAATGCCATTCCCCAGCTGCGAACGCCAACCGGAAGGTCACCACCGATAATGGGGGACGGCGAGTGATGAGTTAAAAAAACTCTGCTGCTGTCACAAAGTTACTGGTTGCTAATAGACGTGCAGATTGGCGGTCAACGAGTCGCACCCGGACGGGCAGGACCTGGGAGGTGATCGGATGGCACGCGGCGGACGGACGGCTTCGGCGAGGGCGAACAAGGAGCTGGGCCGGCCGGGCCGGTGGAGGTGAGGTGGCGCCTCGCCGCCGAACTCGTGTTTGTAGCTTTGCTTTTTCACACCGACAACCAATTAAAACATGTGCGCAACAACAACTTTCATAAAAATCAACGCTTCATCAGTAAAATGACCTGTTAACCCAGAGTGGAGCGGTGGTGGCGTTCTTGTGCGCAGGCGGTCGGTCGAACTAGGCGCCAGGTGACATTGAGGGCGAACGCTTGTGTGTAATTGATAGAAACCGAAACATGAGTTTCTTAATGCAAATCAGCTGAATACGCCGGAATTAGGTGATTGTGCCAAAACACCAGGCACGGGTTTGTACAACCATCGACTGTGGCCGTTTCTTTTACTGTCACAAACACGCAACACGGCGTCGCCGCCGCAGCACGGCGAAACCCGAAACCAGAATGCAGGCGTTTTACCTGTGTGCACTGAATTTAAGGCCGTCACAGTGACCCAGTGAGTTCTTCTTCTTCTTCCTCTTCGCCTCTTCGCCTCTTCGTCCTGCCGGCGGTCGATCGATCGGTCCCGGTGCCGGTGCCGGTCCCGGTCCCGGTCCACCGTATCCTTCGTGTCCTGTCCTGCCCTGTCCTATCAGCACCTTGCGCGGTTCGATTGGCTGGCCGACCGACCGACCGACCGTTGGCTGTCACCGATTTGTTGGTGGCCCCTTTCGCTGGGCGCGCGCCGGCTAATCCTGCTGCTACCGTCGCCGCCGCCGCTGCTGCTGCTGCTGACGGCCGACCGGCTGGCCTTGATCATGATCCGATCATAGCTCCACTTTCCTTGCCACCGCCTGCTTAAAGCACATTTCGTGCCTCCCATCGTCTAGTTGCTCTTTAAACGAGACGCCGGTTCACTTCACCTTGCTGGCTGGTCGTCGTCAAGTCGCGTTGGCTCCTCGCCTCGTCATCACCTCGTCCAACGTTTGCTCCTGTCTCTCGCTCGGCACCCGG